GCTGTGTGGATGCCCAGAGGGCACACGAGTTGATAACTGATGTCCTGCAGTGCTTGCCTCTGTTCAGGAGCATTACAGCTGAGCCTGTTCCCACAACTGCAGCAGAGGGGCAGACGAGTACCAGCAGGGCCGAGCAGGCACCACCGTGGTTCAGGGAACTAGGGATGGTTCTAGGTGATGGGGGGTGGTAAGGGCAAAGAAGCCCAAGTAACCAACGGCTTCCATACTAATTGTTTTGGTGCTCCTTACAATAACATCTCATGTTAGCCTGTCTTTCTGCATCTGGCTCCCTAATTTTGAAGGACCAGCAAAATCTCTGCTCATAGTGCTGGGGGGTGGGTGCCTGGCTGGTGTGGGATGCAAAAAAAAATCAAACCCCAAGCATTGGCTCAGACCATGAGCAACAATGGTGTTGCGGGGGTGGGAGTAGGGGTACTATAAGCATTGCACTTTGTAAACCCCCCTGCCAAGTCTATTCCCATACTTCTGTCTGTTGCTTTTTCTGGGAGCCTTTTGGTGTTGGGGGTGGGGGGCAGGGAAACTATCCATACAGAGCTACCCAAAGTTGCTGGCTCCCTACCCCCTTCCCCACAAGTCTGGCTTGCCAGCATCCCTGGGCATTGGCACTGGGGGTAAGTACCATGAGCGTTGCAGCTCCCTTCCTCCGCATCACCCATGCACTTTGCAAAGCTACCCACAGAGGCTGCCAAGCCTTTTCCCCCAGTTTTTTGGCACTCTTTTTGAACAGGGCTTTTACACTCTTCTCCATCCCAGTGCCAGCCCATCTGGAGTTACTTTTACACCAAAACAAGGTGGGGGAGGGGTCCTGCCCTGCTCAAGGCCTATAAATTGTAGGAGCAGTGGTCAGGGCGTGCGTACACTGTATCAACAGGAGAGTTTGGAGGCAGATGAGAGACAACAGCACACCAGAGGCAGAAGAACTCATCCTAGTGTGGAGAGTTGCCCCTGGGGGGCGCAGGAATGTGAATGCAGCGATCGAGAAGAGTGCAGGCTGAAGTCGGGGGCAGTGCAGGATGAGAGCTGCTTTTCAACATGGGAGTTAAAAAAGGACATTGTGACATTCTCTACAACCAGCACCTTTATGCATTGGTAAGTGAGACCTGACACTAGGCTGTGCCTTGAGGGGGGGAGGGGGGTGCATTGCTTACTTCACCTTTGAAGTAAATAGGGTGGGTAGATTTCAGTGTTGTGAAGGAAGGTGAAGGGTAACACACAGCATGAAAAAGAAAAAAAGATAGAGCAATGCATCGCTTTAGCTCATCACTAAATTTTGGAAAGAAAACATAGTTCACCTTCTGAGTACATTTGATTTGTTGATTCTCTCAAGTTTGTCTGTTGTAAAGAATGCTAACAAAGAAAGCTTAAAGAATAAAAAATGAAAGCTTAACCGGTATTCTTTTCTTTGTATCCATTGCATCTAAAGGTAGTAATCCTGCTAGCCTTTTAAAAGGCTAGTTTCAATTCATATCACCCCTAGTTCTTATAAGTGCAATAGTGAACCTATGAACAGTGTTTTAAATTTTTTCTAACATTTCCCAAAAATACCAAACAAAGCATTTTTGTTCTCTCTTCTCTAAGCTGTGAAAAGAAAACCCTGAGGTCTTAATTCTTCTGCTTTTATCACTAGAACACACCCATTTGTGTAGTTCACTAACTCACTCACTCTAGTATCCTACTACCTATGCATGATCAAAGTTTATTGTTCTAGAAATGATGAAAGCTGCTGCTGGGCACAAGCTGGAACTATATGGAAAGCTGACTATTCATTTACAGATCTCAGAGAACTGTCTGCTAATTTACACTATGTTTTCAAGCAGGCCAGATTTGATTATCAATATCATTGCTTCTATTGTAGGTTAACATACCAGCTGTTCCATTTTGTATCACTGATGGGCACTTCATTTTCAAATGTAACTCTTCTGCAATAGTAACTTGTCTTTAGATTTGAAAGCATTTTTTCAAATACCCCTTTGTCATGATTGGCGATATTCACATTATCTTATCCTGCAGAAATATTGTAAATGATACCCTGAATGTT